ATGTTCTACTTGTCAAGCACACATAGCCAAATATTGTGAGAGGAGAACTGAGAAGAGATTGCCAGGACAAATCTGTCAGATGGACTACATCGAACCTTTACCCCAGGACTGAGGATGTAAGTGCGTTTACACAGCAGTAGACACATTCTGGATATTTGATTGCTCATCCCTGTAAAAAAGCTACTCACCATAGTACTATCTGTACCATAGATACAATTTTCTTGTACTATGGAATCCTGTTAGAGATTCAGACTCATAATGGGTCTCATATTGTAAGTATATTTGTCCAACAATATGCTGAGCAGCATAATATTTAGTGGAAATTTCATATACCGTATTATCCACAAGGTGCAGGATTGATTGAACAGATTATTGTGCTATTGAAGGAGCAGTTAAGGAAGCTAGGAGATGGAAACCTATCCAGGTGGAGAACTCATTTCACAGATGCTCTATATACTCTCAACAATAGACCTCTCAGGGTGATGGACACTCTTTTGATGCACATGACTACGCCCAATTTGCAGATTCAGCCTCTAACGGGTAGTGCAACTTTGACTTACTGGGAAATTGTCCCGGGTGCAATGGCCCCCTACCAGGCCACTCCAGAGGCTGCTGGGCTATATCCTTATGCATTAGAATTGATAGCAGTAAGTCAAAACCAGACGAGAGTTATTAACACTGGGATAGGAATCCAGATTCCCCCAGGACACTTTGGCCTGATAGCTGATCGCTCAAACTTAGCCCTGAAGGGTGTTCATGTCATGGGAGGAGTGATTGATGAAGACTATCAAGGAGAAATTAAGGTCATCTTGTTAAATAATTGTGAGCAAGATTTGGCTATTCAACCCCAGGATAGAATAGCACAGTTACTGATATTGCCAGTTTTAAAAGCAATGGTTGAGGGGTGGGGAACCACCCCAAGTTACCATTGTACATGGGGATAAAGGGTTTGGAACCACCAATTTTAGTAAAATATGGCTCCAAAGGTCAAATGGCCCTCCTGAACCAGCTGAAGTAATAGCTGCAGGGAAGGATAATACCATCTTAATCATGAATCCTGGGCAAGAAAAATGGGAACATGTCCCCACAAATAAGTGTGTCATAGTTATGGGTCTGGGACCAGTTTATCATTATATGGGT